TGGTTGTTGGAGGTCAGTCATTTCCGTTCCAGGACATGTCTGCAGGATAGGCCCTAGGCCCGATCATCTTCAGCTGCTTTATTAATGACCTTTCCTCCATCATAAGGTCAGAAGTGGGGATATTCACTGATGATTGCACAATGTTCAGCTCCTCAGAAACTGGAGCAGTCTATGTTCAAATGCAGCAAGATCTGGATAATATCCAGGCTTGGGCTGACAAGTGGCAAGTAACATTTGCACCATACAAATTTCTGACAATGACTATCTCCAATAAGAGATGATCAAACCACTGCCCCTTGACATTCGATGGTGTACCATCACTGAATTCCCCACTATCAACATTCTGGTGGTTACCATGGACCAGAAGCTCAACTGTATTTGCCACATAAACACAGTGGCTGCAAGAGCAGGTCAGAGTCTAGGAATACTGCAGCGAGTAACTCATCCCCTGACTCCCCAAAACCTGTCTGCTATCTGCAAGGCATGAGTGAGTTGTGTCATGCAATAATCCCCACTAGTTTGGATGGGTGCTGCTCCAAATGCGCTCGAGAAGCTTGACACCGTCCAAGTAAAAGCAGCCACTTTATTGGCATCTCATCCATAAACATCCAATCCCTCCACCACCGATACACAGTAGCAATAGTATGTACTGTCTACAAGGTGCAATGCAGAAATTCATGAAAGATCCTTAGACAGCTGCTTCGAAACCCACAACCATTTCCATCTCGAAAGATAAGGGCAGCAGATACATGGGAACACCACCACCTGCAAGTTTCCCTCCAACTCACTCACCATTCTGACTTGGAAAAATAATCATTGTTTCTTCACTGCCGCTGGGTCAAAATCCAGATGGATGGCAGCAGTTCAAGAAAATAGCTCACCACCACCTTCTCTAGGGCAACTAGGGACGGGCGATAAATGCTGGCACAGCCAGCGACACCACATCCCATAAATGAATAAAAAATAGCCATGGATAGGAAGTTGAGCTCAGGTTGCAAAGTCGAACTTCATGAGGATTTCAAATGTGACTGGAAGGTTCATCAGTATTGTGTTAAAGGAAGCATTACCTGGAAAATCTTTCACCATGATAAAGTGTGTCTGAAATTAAAAGTTTATCAGGCTGTGAAAGGAAAGTAGCAGGCTGAGCAAATCTAGAGAACTAATCACTTTGGACTAGGTCCAGGAAAACTGGATAATTACTTAACAGTATGATTAATGTGTACCTGTGAATCAGGTTTGCTTTTTGTGCACAAAAGTAGAAAAGGCAAGTTCTGTTCTGCAATTCACAGCATAACTTCCTTATAAAAATACTGTTTAATAATTAGTACTTTGTTTGTTACAGTAAAAGTCTTAAAACAGAAACTTGTCAGGCCACTCTTTTAGACAACAACTGAAAGTTCAGATTTCTTTTTATTTAGAGAAATATTAGTCTTGATGTCCATCATAACAAGAATAACAGAAGCTTGCAATAGTTAATGTATTTGCATCGCTGTTAGTATTCAGTCTGCGACATGTATGTTACGGAAACCAAGTATTAGAGTGGAGAACATGATCTAGAGATTAAAAGCCATAAAGGTCATATGTTACAATGTAATTATAGGGCTGTTTTTAAATCTTATTTATGGCAAAAATTTTGAAACTTAAATTTATTCTGTAAATTAAACTTCTGACTGTTCCCCAAAAACCCTGAAATGATATCATATTTCTATATCAGTTGCTGAATTTTAATTTAGAGAATATGCAGTAAAAACAATGATATGAGCAAAACCATACTTGAGGAATTATTCATCTCTGAACTGCTATTAAGTAACAGATTTTACGATAAACTAGAAAACTGTGATCTTTCGACCCATATTTCTGAATCTGGGATCCACAGACATAAGAGGTCTGCACCAAAAGGCTTATCTTATGGGTGGATGGTGATCAAGAGTAAGTGTATGACTAAGTGGTCAGAGGAATAATGTCATTCTCCCAAGGCTTTCCTCATACTTTCTCCAGGCTTTGACTGCAGAAGGCAAACTCAGCAGTTGGAAAGGCAAATCTACTTCATCGATATCTGCAACTACATCATCTGTTTTCTTTTAAAGCATGACTAAAACTCATTCATACAAGCAGCAATTTCATATTATTAGCTTCAAGGACAGTGTCTATGATTAAGCTTTTTAAAATGACGCCACATGATCAAGTATTTTGAGGATCAATGGTCCATGACTTGTGTAGGAACATGATTTGCCTCAATGTTTGCTGAACAGAGGCAAAGGTCCAATTGTATTTGGCATTTTGGTATCAAAAGTCAAAGATAGCTGGAACCAATATTGATTGCAATGCACTTGATTTCTCGCTGGTACTTAAAGGCAGTTGACCTACTTCACAATAGCTGCACATTTTGTAACAAGGCAGCACCACCACACTTTCCTGGATTCGGGTCTTTTGCCAAATGTGCGAAAAGCACAGCAGATCAACATCAGGAGAAAGGCAGACAGGCTGAGTTTTTTGGGTATAATCCTTACTTGGCTCTTAAACCAAACCTAAAATCTTAATTCATATTCTCCGCTCACTGATCTGTGGAAAATGTACACTGTATTTCCTTTTCATTGTTTTAAACTGGCCTGAAAAATAGTCCAATAGTGATTTTTTTTATTGGCTTAGGCAAACATCATAGGATAGCTTGTGCTGTGTTGCACAATCAGTGATTGAAGAAGCCAGTTCTTGATTTCCAGACTGTTGAGCTGTTAGGGTACAGGTCTCTTGGTTTGTAAGGCCTTTGGTGTGTAGCTCCTTCCGTTCACACTGCCTTTCTTTATCAGCCTTGCATCTGATTGTATTGAACTTCTGTATTACTTTTGTTGGGGTTGTTGCAACTTCTATTTTAGCTTCCTGCTCCTTCACCAAGTTTTTGAAGCATTTACGATATGCATTTGGATCTCATTCAGTGGAGTATTGTTCATCATAAAGTACTTCTGGAATTTTACATGCGTGATGCATGCTTTATGCAGCACAGTTGGCATTGCAAGAGAATGCATCCATGCCAGGCAGACTTTGTTGAGGACTGCTTTGCTTTGATGATCTCTCATCAGATCATTGTTCTTGTAGCCATGAACTAAACATAATACCTTTTGTAGTTTGTGGTTGGCATGAGTCCAATGAATTAAGGGCCACTTTGCAAGGACTTAGGTTAATGGTGACAGAATTTGTGATCAAATTTTGCAACTTTTTAATGAGATACTGCAGATTTTTACACTTAATTTCTATGCAAGTTACTTTTTGTACAAACACGACTGTCATTTAACATGGATCTCAGTTTTGTGTCTTCTGTCTCTTCACTTCTCTTGTTTTCAAAGCTTTAATCCTTTCTATTTCATCTCAAATATCATCTCGATCTTGAAAAAAATCCATCCTGAAACGTACATACGAACATCTGACTGGAATGTATGATTTGCACACAATTATCATCAGCAACAGTTATGCATGTAGAATTTTTAATGCATATAACTGTAATTTTTAAACTCTACCTCAGTGATTTGCCTTGAAACAAGAAGGTGAGTGCAGAAATCAAGTGCATTCGCTGTCATCTAATGTGCTCCATTTGAACTCTGTTTGCAAAAGTAGTACTGATTATTATTATAAAGGATAATCACTTCTGTATTGAGGTCAATAAGCAGTTTGCCGTTTTGCATCTCAAGCAGCTGACAACTCCAAGGTAAATCTGTCATATTTGCAAAGACTACCATTCAGGAAGACTCTATCAACCAATAGTCTGGTCTCCAATTGTTGTCTGAATGTGATACAATGTGCCAGTGATATACCTCTGTGGATGAACCTGGATTTTGTGTTTCAGAGTGTCTGACATCCCAATATGCAAACACACGACCTGTGAATGAATGACTGATTGATTGATTTTGCCAGCACACTTGGAAAAGTTTCATTTTTGCAAATAGAAATTAAACTTGAGTCAAATTTATTTCAGTATTTACTTAGGTGCTTGAACTCTGTCTAAATGTTAGCCCATGATCGTTTCATCTACTAAGATGGTGATGAGCACACAATTCAAGAGTACTTTGTGCTTCTCTTTCCGAAGTAACCACTTAGCTGTGTTCAAGTGGATGCACTCTTACTTCTTTCATCACCAATCCAAGGTGAAAGTTAAGCATATGTGCCATAGACATAGTATACCAACAATAATCTGAGAACTCAACCAACAGAAGTTGAGTGCAATTTCTTGAAATTATATAAGGTGGAAGTGCTTATTTTTTTCTGGAGGAGTACAAATTGTTAAGCTGCCAGATGATTGATATGTTAGCTTGAACTTGAGAGGCATAGTTAGTAATTTAGCATTGCAATTATGAGACTGAAAAAATCTCTTTCACCTTATGGCACAATGCACCAGTAAAATTGGAAAAACTAAAGAATCAGATCTTGTTTAACAATGAAGACTTGAAGACTTCTTTATAATAAACTGTGCTAAAACCAATCAAACACCTTTCTTCCCTGAAGTGTTAGACAATGTTCTGAGAGTGAATTAAGCAAATATTTTACAACTTGCCCGCTCCATTCTTCATTCTCTAGATTTGTGAAGGATTTGTATTTATATAGCATGTGTTGTTCAGCCCAGTGATGATTATAGGTGTTTCAGTGGCACGTATCCACCAGACATTTATTTTTGATCGTTGATGCACTCTTTGAAATAACTTGTTTGTTGTTATTTCTGTTTAACTATTGAAGTCAATATCCTCTTCTTTCAGCAGATTAGTATTGCTAATGAGCAAGATTAAACCTGAAACCTGTGAACCAAGACTTTTTAAGCGTTGACTTGTGCATCATGTTTCCTGTTTTTGCTTTTACTAAAATACTGATGTCAACTGATAACAGATATACTTATAAAAAGTATGAAAATTTAAATGCATTGAACTTGTTTTCATTGTTTACTACATGGAGAATTTCATGTATGTTGTACACATTGACTTGCATAAAAGTAATTTAACCTTTTCTTCTGCATGTAGTCATTCTTGCACAGAAATCACCAGAATGATGGCGACAAGTCAGAAAAACGAATTACTGAAGAACATCTCAAGGTAGGACTCTAATAAAAATGTATCTGCGTTAACAGCATTTCTTAAAGGTCTATTGCATTGTTGGATTTGTTCTGTGATCATTTGGGGTCTCGTGAAAACTCATTTTTAAAAGAACATACACAATGACTTGAATAATTCAACCTGATGTATGTAAAAGTCTCAGTGCAAATTATAGGAAGATATAGTTGGGCTTCTTCACAGTGAATATTTTGGTCCTTTCTCCATTTTGTTAGTTGAAAAGGTTGGCAATTCATGCATACCTAGCCACTGCTCACTAAGCTCTTGCACATGTTAATGGACTATATTTGATGGCCTACATTTTATATTTTACTTCTCTCTCCCTTTCTCTCGGGAGAAATATCAATATTCCAGTTGTAGTTGCTGAAATAGTTCACACTTTTGTACTTATGTATGTAAGCAACTGCAGTTAGGAGTCAAATGTTATTGCATTGTTATGTCTTTTCCTAGCATGAAGAACTGGAGTAATATGCTTTTTCGTGAGTATGTTAATACTGCTTTATGCAGGCCACAACTCCAGCAAAGAAAAGACCTAGATTTGTTTCTTTTTCTAACATAGCACTATCGAGGTTACACCCAAATGGTTTCATATTGACTTCCTGTGCAAAGATGGGCTTTAAATCTTATCTAATCTAGAAATTGGGGTGGATTCTGAAGAACATTTTGCTCATGAAATACATATTCACTTGAATTCAGCAGAAAAAAAAGCTTGTGTTTTGTTTTTATGTATTGAGATAAGATGTTCCTGAAAATAACTATGTTTTTACCTTCAGATTTTGTTTTCTAACATTGAAGAGATACTTGACGTGCATATGCTGTTCTTGGCAGCTCTTGAGTGCCATTTACAACCAGAACCACAACCTCAACATGAACTTGGAAATATCTTCCTTCAGTTTGTGAGTAGAATCAGTTTTTATTTTAGTTGCATTTTTTTTGTGAATCCGATTTCTTGCCCCTTCACCTTATTCTTTTAAATTTGGCATCCCTCAACTTGACTAGGATTTATCTACACCTCTGCCACCATTTTAGATCCATCATGGCGGTCTGCAGATGTTTGTCTTTTGGGGGGATGTCCTGCAAGTTTGTCCTGGTCATTCAACATTTATGTAGCATCTTGACCATTCTTAACTCATTCAAATTCACACTGACTGTCAGCATAAGCAACGCTATACAGTTGCGAATCCACAACAAAGAGTCTGGATCCCATGAAGTCTCACGGCATCAGATAGAACATGGGCAAGAAAATCTCTTGCTTGTTATCACCTACCACCTCCCGATTTCAAACAGATCCAGCAGCTCAAAACTGGGTATGCATGAACTGCTGTGGACTATCAATAGCAGAATTGTATTCAGAAGCAGTCTGTAAGCTCATGACCTGGCATATCCCCCATGATACCTTTATTGTGAAGCTGGGGGATAATGCTTAGTTCAAGTAGAGTGCAGGAGCAGTACCAGGCATATCTAAAAATTAGGAGTCAACCTGGTGAAACTGCAACACAGGGCTACTTGCAAGCATGCAATCGACAGCCGTGAATTGTGCTGGACAATTAACCAACTAATGGAAGGAAAAAGCTCCATAGGTGTCCGCATCCTCAATAATGGAGGAGACCAGCTCATCCACGAAATAGACAAGGCTGAAGCATTGGCATCCAAGAAGAATTGCTGACTGGGAGGACGCAGAGATGGATCATCTGGAGATGACCGGTATCACATACGCCAGTCATCGGCCAATTCAATTCACTCCATGTGATTTTAAGAAACTACTGAAGACAATGAATACTACAAAATCTACAGGCTCTGAAAACATTCTGGCAGTGGTATTGAAGTTGTAGAACTAGCTGAGACACTCACCAAGCTATTCTAGTACAGGTACAATGCTGGCATCTACCCACCAATATGGAAAATTTCCCACTTTTGTCGAGTCCACAAATTGAACAATTCCCAGCATGCTAATTACTGCCCCATCAGTCACTCTCAATCATCAGTGAAGTGATGGAAGATGTCATCGATAGTGCTTTCAAGAAGCACCTGCTCAGTAATAACTACTCAATGACACTCAGTTGGGGTTCTGTCACGGCTCCTTAGCTCCTGATTTCATTGTAGCCTTGGTTCAAGCGTGGACACAAGCTGAATTCCAGAGGTGAGGTGAGAGTAACTGTGTTCTTGATATCATTTGACCAAGTGTGACAAGGAGGCTAAACAAAACTGATGACAATGAGAAATTGGAGGAAAAGTTGGTTGGAATTATACCTAGCACAAAGGAAGACGTTTGTGGTTATAAAGTCATAGAGTCATACAGCATACAAGCTGACTCTTCAGTCCAACTCATCTGTGCCAACCAGACGTTCCAATCTGATCTAGTCACATTTGCCAGCATTTGGCCCGTAACCCGCTAAACCCTTTCTATTCATATACCCATCCCCCAGGTGTCTTCTAAGTCTTGGGCTTGTATCCGCCTCCACCACTTCCTCTGGCAGCTTATTCCATACACGTCCTGCCTTCTATGTGAAAAAGTTGCCCCTTAGGTCTTTTTTAGATCTTTCCCCTTTCACCTTAAATCTATGTCCTGTAGTTTTGGACTCCCCAAACCCACCCCACTGGAAAAAAGAAGCTTGTCTATTCACCCATGCCTCTCATGATTTTAGAAACCTCAACCTCCAATGCTCCAGGAGAAAAAGCTCCAGCCTATTCAGCCTCAGACCCTTCAGCACCAGCAATGTCCTAGTTGTTGGAGGTCAGCCATTTAGTCCTGAGCCATCACTGCAGGAGTTCTATTGTCAGTTGTTGTAAAAACCCATCCGGTTCACTAATGCCCTTGAGGGAAGGAAGTTTGCCATCCTTGCCTGGTCTGGCCTACATGTGACTGCAAACCCACAGTAATATGCTTGACATGTAACCACCCTTTAAAATGACTGAACAAGCCATTCAGTTTAAGGGCAATTAGGGATGGGCAACAAATACTGACCTTGTCAGTGATGCACACATCCTATGAATACATTTTTAAAAAACATCTTGGTTTGTGCGCATTTTATCTACTTGTTTGCACTATTTTCATAGTTTCTAACCACACACCCATTAAAAATCAGGAAATGTTGGATTTATAACTGTTTGTCATAGACTAAATATTACTTATTGGATCTTCAAACACTGCAAGAATACATCATCGTACTTTTGAAGTTAGTGGGCCATAAGTGCAAAACTGAAAGGAGTGTGTACCTGTTCCCTATAATTTTATGGCTAGACTGCATACCAGGATTGTTAACATTTTTGACTGCATGTAGTCTTGCTTCGCCATTGAGGATGATATTTTAAAATTAAAATGTTTATGAATTATCTCTTTGGGACTGTACTTGCATGTAATTTGTAACTTCACAAGCCTCCTAGAATGGATTAAATGCACTTCACAAAGAAAAAAAATTGAACATGCTGTTTTTGCTGTAACAGTATTGATAATGAAAACCTGAAGCAGCAAGCTGTTTTTACCACACTTGTACACACTTGTACAATTAAATTATCAGCTATTTAATAAACATGGGGCTCTTCTTGAGATTTTTTGAGTTACCTTTTTACAGGAGGTTTTTTTTATTTTCAGGGGTTTTTTTTTAATCCTCATTAATTTAGCTGTTGTAGTCGAGAAGTGACAATACCTTCTGTATTTGTGTTCACATATGTAGTACTTCTACTTTCTCAGAGCAGAAGTAGAAGAATTCATTAAGATCCTCAGTAATTATCAATCCTACATTAACTTAAAGCTACACCACACAAGGAAAACATTTTTTTAGATACTGCAGTACTTGAATTGACAGAATAGGCATAAGTTAGCAACAAATGATTTTATTTCCCAAAATAACTAATACACTTCTTCTATACACAAAAGACCATCATCCAAAGTATCCTTTCCATTGGCTGCCATGAATACTTGCTGCTGAGGTCATGGTGAATGCATTTCTGTCATATATGCATAAAGCTCAAAGATTTTACCCAGTCAGAAACTCTTTGTTTACAGTGTCTCAGATCAAAATTTAACAATTGAATTCCTTGCAGTAGAACCCACTATGTTTTCCCTACATATTAGCTCCTGAACATATGTAACCTTGACCTAGATGTTCTACTTTTAGTTGAAAAGCATTTATTACCTTTATAATTTAAAGTTTTCTTGGCTGTTTCTTGAAGTTAACAAAGATTTCCTTTTGGTGATGCCTTTTAAAACAATTCTTTGCGTTTAGCAGCCATGTTGTCCTATACCCTTGCAGCTTCTTCCTGTTACCCTTATCCCCACTGCCTGGCTGAGCAGAGCAAATCCCTGATAGGTGGCTCTCTAACTTCAAAGGGAGCCTATCTGCCTCAACTCACTGCCAATGGCTTCCCCAGTGCCCCTAGAACTTTGCTCCACAGCAGTAGGCCCCAATCCACCCTGGCTGCCTTGCTGACTTACCTTTTCTTTTTTACCCTCCTGATTGCTCCTCCACTCGCAGGCTGTTTCTGTCCTATGTTGAGCCTATTAGTGACCAATGCAAGAGAGAACCTGTAGTAGTTGTAGCTCCCCTCTGATTCTGTCAATTCCAAATATAAGATCAACTTTTCTCTACCTGATTGCTCCTCCCACTAAATTATTCAAGGATTTTTGGGGATTTTGAGGGGGCAGTTTACCTGCCCATGAATTTTGAGTGAAGAAGTTCATTTCATTATGGAAGAACAGACTCATCTGTCTCTGAGCAGTGTACCATAGTGTAGGAAACAATGATGAAACTCAATTCAGTTTAGTCGCTCTATCATGCAATCCCCAAAGCTCTGTGTATTTCACATGATCTGCAAAACTTCTTAGTTTGTATAGAAAAAGAATTATTGGAATGTAATAAATTGTCAGGTCACCTGGGAGATGTCAGCAGGAATACAATGCAATATTAGATCAATCCACATTGAATTTGTTTCTAAAATTTTTTTGAGTGCATCTTTTTCCCTTGACAGTAAGATAATCTTCCTAGAAATTGTTCTGGAATAATGTAGATTTGAAATTTTGAATGCATTAAATTAGGACCATTTATTCTAGACTCACGATGGGGCACTCGGTATAGGATTACCACATTTCTTACACCAAGATTTAGCCTCTTTAGCTGCTTCTTGAGTGGATAAAGTTTTTGAAATTGTATTCTTGTACACAAGAAAACCCTTCACCTGGGAAAACTCTGATATTCATGCTTTTGGTGTGTTTCAGATACGCTGCCTTTTTTTAATGGGGGAGAATGGGAAAGGTTTTTACTTTTGCTGAATATGTATGAATGCTTATCAAGAAGCTGCATATGTTTGTGAATTTAACCAGTTCTTTACTAAACAGTGTTAATTAGTTTAATTGATTTTCACACCCATAGGTGCGCTTGGCCAGGATTTTGAGGTCAGCAGCAAAATGTGATGTTTACCTCAGATTTCCTAGAAAGCCGGCCACAAAGATCTACTGTTCTCTGAGGCATTGTTTTCCTTTTTAGTTCAAATCTGAAGCCGAGTCTGCCAGTAGCTAGGCAGCAATGATATCAAATTCCATTTGAGATATTCACATACAGCAAATTTGGAAATCGTAATGCACTTTGTTATTAATTTATACCTTCAGATAGTGAAATAAATTATTTGCATTAAGTTGGAAGCTTAGATGAAAGCATCTGAAGAAAAATAAAAAAATGGAGAAATTTGACATACAACAAATATAAAATTAGCTTCTCAGGGGTAATCAACTGTATTTAGTAGCAGTCATTAAGTTAGTAATCCATTTAAATATTCAGTTACATTTCACTTAAATAAAATAGGTTTTTTGAGGATTTTCTGCAGCGAGACTAACAACATATGTGTTGGCGTTATTGGCATTGCCATTGATTTGATTTCCATGACTGCAGGCTGTTGGTCCGGAGAGAATTGTAACTCCTCTTCAGAGCATACTCAACTGTTGTATTGAACAGTTTAACACTAGCCTAGACACTTGCATGCCTGAATGTGCATGATGGTTAATTGTAATAAATGTCTGTTGTATTCAGTGCTACAGTAGTGAAGCCCAATTTCTTACAATATGGGAGATAGCAAGCATTGCCGTATTGGGTAAAACACCCTCCAGGAGGCCAACTCTCATGACTGCCTTCAGGCAACTCACTTAAACAGCACAACTATATAGTAAGGCATGAATATAGGGGGTCTCGATTCACAAGTATCTGACTTGCAAACGGTTGCACTTATGGATGCGATCCCATACAGGGGCTTTAAAGATCTGACGTACAAATATTTTCTGTATCAAAAATGGCTGCTTTACATTGTCCTGCATTGTATTCGGACTTGTGTTCCAGTATGGAATCTGGTCACAACCTGGGTACAGTCTTCACATATTGACTTTAAATTACTCCTAACCTTTTAACCAAATGAGGTCAATTAATTTTGAGGCCAAGATCTGTTGTGTTGAGTTAACTTTTGAGTAAAGAAGATATTGTGCTTATATCCAGTTAATCTTCCTGTTACACTTTAGGCTTCTTCTGTAAACAAAAAAAAACTGAATTTGATTCCAAGGGTGGAATTTTCCTCTCTCTGGAAGTGGTGAGAGGGGAAATAATTAGGCAAGTGTGCCTTGGATGATACCTGTCCCCTTGCCAGTACTGGGTAAGCAGGCCAATGGGGATTTTCTTGACATGCCAACAATTAAGGCCTTTAACTGGCCTTTTAAGGGCCTTAACTCACCAATAGGACTGGGGAGGCAATGGCCTCGTGGTATTATCACTGGACTGTTAATCCAGAGACCCGGATAACGTTCTAGAGACCCGGGTTTGAATCTAAGAATCTAATGATAACCGTGAATCCATTGTCGATTGTTAGAAAAACCCATCTGGTTCACTAATGTCCTATAGGGAAGGGAACTGCCATCTACCTGGTCTGGCCTACATGTGACTCCAGACCCACAGCAATGTGGTTGACTCTCAACTGCCCTCTGGGCATTTACGGATGGACAATAAATGCTGCCAAGCCAGTGACGCCCTCCTCCTGTCAATGAATAAAGAAAAAAGAACCCGAGGACCAGTCTTCAGTGGGAAAAGTGGCTGATTGCACATTTGGGTAACAAGGCCAACCTGTGGGATGGGTTGTGGGATGGAGGAGGGGGGGCATTCCTCAACCTGCAGGCAATTAGAGGAATTGACGGGGCTTGAGGGATGGTCTCTGAAAGTCACACCCCTTGCCCTTATCTCTGACCACCCCTGACACCCACCACTCCCTGCCAAACCCATACAGCCAAAAGAAAATGACCCATGTTCTATACGCAGGAGCCCCTGAGGAGTAGGCCTTGGCCAATGGCCTTTGTCTCATGAGCCAGGATGCTACTATCAAAGCCTATGAGAAACCAAGGATATCATAAGTCAGATCTTAATAAGTTGGCATATGATACGACATGCTTTGTAAGTGAACAGGTGGCACAATGGTTGACCTTACAGATGCTTTAAATCTAGTCATAACTCAGTCAGGAAACAAACTAGCATGTTAGTTTTGTACCACCTCATTTTCTCTACAGCTTGTTGCTCCATCTTGTTGAAGTCAGTATTTATGAACAGGTAAGTCATTTCTCAAGGAAAAAAATCATTTAAGTATAGAGGGAATTGTTTTACTACTACAGCTACAGTCTCTCCATTTAATAAGTTGCTCTTTAATCTAATTGTATATGATCGGACTGGTTTGTAACCTCCATGTATGCGTCCAATTAAGATTTTTTTCCTTCATTAACTTCTAGAAGATCAACTTTATCATTCCAGGTCAGGAAATGACTTGCTGCAGTATGTCCCAATATCTAAATTGGTTTACCTACTTGATTTGAAGCATAAGAAAATACCTTTCTGAAATATCATTAGATGTAGGAGCAGAAGTAGGCCATTTGGCCCATTGAGTCTGCACTGTCATTCCATCAGATTATGGATAATCTTATAATCCTCAATTCCACTTTCCTGCCTTTTTCCCCACAACCGCTGATTTGTTACTCATTAAAAATCTATTTCAACCTTGAATATTCTTAGCCCAGCCCCTAAATGGGAAATCAATCTCTCAGCATCTGCCCTGTCATGTCCCCTAAAAATCTATATGCTTCAATAAGCACTCTTTTGTACTCTTCTCTTTCTTCTAAACTCCAGTAACTACAATCCCAAACTACTTGACCTCTCCACATAAGACAATCCATCCATTCTTTCCTCCAAATGCCAGTATTTCTTTCCTTAGCTAAAGGGACCAGCAGTATTCCAGCTGTGGTCTAACTAGTGCATTGTATAGTTTTAGCAAGACATCCCAATTTTAATACTTTTCCTCAGAAATAATGGCCAACGTTCTATCTGCCTTGTCTATTACCTGCTGAACTTGGGTGCTAGCGTTTTGTGATTCATTGACAAGAAATTCCAAATCTCTCTGTGCTGCAGCTTTCTGCAGTCCTCTTACATTTAAATAACCTTCAGCTCTTTTATCTTTCTGTCTAAGTGCATAACCTCATATTTTCCAACATTACATTCCATCTGCCAAGTTTTTGCCCATTTGCTGAACCTATCTCTATGTTGAGACTTTATACAACTTGCCTTCTCACCTATTTTTGTGTCAGTTGCCAATATGACTATAGTACCTTCACTTTTCTCGTCCAAATCATTAGTATATGTCATAAATTATTGTGGCGTCAGCATTAATCCCTGTGGCATGGATCTCTTTTTGAGACAAAGTATGAAGAACCTCCCAGTAGTCTGCTACTACTAACCAATATTCAAAAAAATAATTTTCTTGCCTCTTTATAGTTATCTCTCTCTTCGTAATACATTCTAAAGAAACATGAAGCCTTCATACTGCTGCTACAATTTAAGTACCTTCTTGCATTCCTGATGCTTCCTTTTCTGAGGATCCATCAAACGTTCTTACTATTGCAAATTGGGGTATTCTATTTAAATTCCAGCCATTGGCTTTGGCATGTCCAGTCTTAATACAACAGGACCATGATATTTTCCTTATATCATTTTTGGTTCTATTTACAGTGTTTCAAATCTCGATAAATTACCCTTCTCTGTCACTTTCTTTGGTTTGATTTAAATACTTTCCTCCAGCATGTCTGTGAACTGTGAAGTTGTCTTCCATGAATCCTCATTTTTAAAAAAAATGAAAGCTGAGTCTTTCTCAGTCTTTTAATAATCTGCAGTTTTCTAACCAATCATCTTGGGACTGGAAATTTCACAGTTTAAGCCTGACCCCAAGGTACCCTATCTTTCCCTGAACTTGCCTACATTACTTTCTAGGAGAAAAGCTGTATTTTGTTCGAACCTCATCAGGTCTCCTCTAAAAAATCACCTTTTATGCTATGGGTTTTCTAAGCCAAATATTGTAGTGATTGGAACCAGGTGGATCTTGTTGATTATGAGATTCTGGATTGGGGTTGTTAATCTGGGTCAATCAGGAAGCCCTGGTTGACCAATATAACCAGGGGATTTAGAATCTTCTCAGTCCAAGTGACTGACACCGCGCTGGCTGGCCACAGCCAGTGTATTGTGCACAAGTAAATAAAGGGTGACTTAGTGACAGGATACCGGCCTCTCTGCAGTTACTTCAATGATTAACCCTTGACCATTCAAAATGATATTCTATGAGGTCCACCTGGCTGTTTCATTACAATCACTACACTCACCTCTCTATCATGCTTGCAACAATGATACATTGCATAATGTCCTATTCAGTCAGTTCAATAAGTTGGAGCTGTTTCACATTGGATCACAGCTTCACCTTTTGTACAGCAGTGATTTGACCTTGGTCTTGTATTAATTTCATATACCAATACCATAGCTAATAATATGGACGTGTACACGTGTGTGATGCTTATGGAACTTTCTATTATGGTTTGGTGGGGAACTATGTGGATTGTATAATACAAAAGGAAGCCATTTGGCCTGTCATGCCTGTGAACGTGCAATTACTGTGAAAAGGTGGTGGCTGTGTGAGTGAAATTCATTTTTCCCTTACCATATCTGAGTTGCTACAATCCAGCTGTTTATCATGCTTTTCTTTCTAAAGAATCCTATTTTACCATATAAACCAGAATATGTTGTTCTCCCATGGTGCATTACACTAAATATAAATCTAGGATTGAGCAGCTATAAACTGTTGCACACAAACATTTTCTTTAATACTATTGTCGTCTTTGTGTTTGTTTATAGAAAAATCGATTTTGTGTCTATCAAGAATACTGTAGCAATCATGAAAAAGCCTTGAGACTTTTAATGGAATTGAACAAAATACCTGAAGTGCGGGCAATGCTTTTGGTAAGCTGTACAGCCTCTCCTAGAATTTGCATAATCATGTGTTTATTTCAATATTATCTGTATCATCCTGGACTGACTAATACAATTATTCTTCCTCAGTTGTATACTACTATAAATATTGATATAAGCCCTATGCATTCAGGAAATCTTGTTTCGTTAATTGAAAATATTTCTGATGTTGATTTTAATGCTATTTCTTACGACCCTGGTCAAGTCTGTAAACTATTTAAGAATGTTATGTAATTTTTGTAGTATTTTGAATGCAAAACCTAAGATTCAATAGTTATTCATTATGTTTACATCGACATCTCTAGGAGTGGAATGAATATATTCATAAATTTGGACATGAGGCTAATTTGAATTTGATAATTTAAGTAAAGTTTTGAAGCAGGAATGTTCTAAAATGCCAAATTTCTATTTTGGATGTAATATTTGACTCAAAATTCACATAGTCACCTGAGGAGTCAGTTGTTCCAAGTATCTATGCATGTAAAATTGTTTTAGTGAGTTAACAGGCCCACTTTGTTTTTAGAACTGCATGGTTCTGGGAGGAATGAAGACCACAGATATACCACTGGAAGGCTATTTGTTAACCCCAATACAGAGAATCTGCAAATATCCTTTACTACTTAAGGTAAGCAATTGGAATAAATAATATTAATAAATTGTGAACCTTTTGTGTGATTTCTTACAGAAATTAATATAATATGGTGCCAAGTCTTGAAGAGATTGATTCCAAATTAATCTGGCTGAATTTCTACAAGAAAATTAAATCTATAATTTCAATATTATTGTTGTGAAATGTTTCAAATTATTATTTAATTTTTTTGGAGTTTCAGTTGGTAGGAAGAAGTTGAAGATGATTTCTTGCTTATAGCTGATTTGTTAGTTCATGAATGTAATGTAGCAACCAAACATTTACAAAAGATTTTCTATTATAGTAATTATTTCAGTTAGAGTAATTCACTTCCGTTGCTGACATATAGGGGTTGAAATTTTTTTTGACTTAAGTGCCAGTTGAGTTGAGCATTTTTGGACAGTTTTTCACAGTGAGACCTAGCAAGATTTCCTACTATATCTGACAAAGTTGTTCCCATTAACCACACAACCCTACCCCAATGGCATCTCTCTCTCTCTCTCTCTCTCTCCACCACCCTCCCCCCAATTCCAGCCTGTCCTTGACACACACCATTCCCACAACAACTTGCCACTTGGCAGATATCATCAAAAGATTGGTATCCTTTGCACCAGTACCATATTTAAAAGGCTTCTGTGCGCCCGGATAAAATTGGCAATTTACTGTTGACCCTCACCAACAACGTAATGACATAGTAATCACAAAGCCATGCTGCTCACAGCATAGCTCTCCCTCATGTATACTACCCCATTCTCTCATCCTTGTTGCGGTGTAACAAGGTTGATGTTGGTAAGGAAGATGTACTAGGAATTTTGAGGAACTTGAAGATAAATAAGTCCCCCAGGTCTGATGGGCTTTATCCAAGGATCCTATGGGAAGCGAGGGAAGAGATTGCAGGGCTTTGGCGATGATCTTTTCATCCTCACTGTCCACAGGTATAGTGCTGGAAGATTGGAGAGAGGCAGACGTCATTCCCTTGTTCAAAGAAGGGAATAGGGATAACCCCGGAAATTACAGGCCAGTTAGTCTTACGTCAGTGGTGGGCAAATTATTGAAAAGGGCTCTGAGAGATAGGATTTATGATCACTTGGAAAGGCACAGTTTGATTCGTGATAGTCAGCATGGATTTGTGAGGGGTAGATCATGCCTCACAAACCTTATTGAATTCTTTGAAGAGGTGACCAAACATGTGGATGAAGGTAGATCAATGGATGTGGTGTACATGGATTTAAGTAAGGCATTTGATAAGGCTCCCCATGGTAGATTCATGCAGAAGGTAAGGAGGCATGGGATAATGGGAAATGTGGCAGATTGGATTCAGAATTGGCTGACCCTTAGAAGACAAAGGGTGGTAGTGGACGGAAAATATTTAACATGGTGCTCAGTTACAAATGGTGTACCACAAGGATCTGTTCTGGGTCTTCTTCTATTTGTGATTTTTGTAAGTGATTTGGATGTAGGAGTGGAAGGGTGGATTAGTAAGTTCGCGAATGATACAAAGGTAGGTCGAGTTGTGGATAGTGTGGAGGGCTGTTCTAGGTTACAAAGGGACGTTGATTGGATGCAGAGCTGGGCTGAGAAGTGGCATATGGATTTTAACCCTGAAAAGTGTGAGGTGATTCATTTTGGAAGGACAAACTTGAAAGCAGAATACAGGGTTAATGGAAGGATTCTTGGTGTGTGGAGGAGCAGAGGGATTTTGGGGTTCAAGTCCACAGTTCCCTGAAAGCTGCCACCCAGGTGGATAGAGTTGTTAAGAAGGCGTATTGTGTGTTAGCTTTCATTAATAGAGGGATTGAGTTCAAGAGCCGTGAAGTTATGCTCCAGCTATACAAAAGCCTGGTTCGGCCACATCTGGAGTAGTGTCCAGTTCTGGTCGCCTCATTACAGGAAGGATGTGGAAGCGTTGAAAAAGGTGCAGAGGAGATTTACCAGGATGTTGCCTGGAATGGAGGGAAGGTCTTACGAAGAAAGGTTGAGAAAGCGAGGGCTTTTCTCTTTAGAACGACAAAGGATGAGAAGTGACTTGATGGAGTTGTACAAAATGATCAGAGGTATAGATAGAGTAGACAGCCAGAGACTTTTTCCTAGGGTGGAGGTAGCTATTACGAGGGGGCATAGTTTTAAAGTGAGTGGAGGTAGATATAGGGGAGATGTCAGAGGTAGGGTCTTTACTCAGAGAGTGGTCGGGACGTGGAATCCATTGCCGGAGAGGGTAGTGGAGTCGGCTTCATTTGGGGCATTTAAGTGGCTATTAGATAGGCAAATGGATGATAGTATAAGGTAGGGTGGAGGTTAGATAGATCTTAGGATTAGGGTAACAGTTCGGCACAACATCGTGGGCCGAAGGGCCTGTACTGTGCTGTACTGTTCTATGTTCTATGTTGTTCTGTGTAACCATCCGGTGCAGTTTGTCTTCAGCTACATCCTGTTTAAAAACCTTCTCTAAATCACTACTACTCTTCCCCCAGTGCCCACTGACCTTTTGTTGACAGGTAGCAAAAACGAACACAAAAGAAATGAGTAGAGGTTGCAGTTCACCCCGACAATGCAAACTTAATGCTGCATGTTGTCCAACAACTGTTCTAAAGTTCATCATGTTCTGCTGCACCCACCCCTCTTTGGCTGGAGTTGGGTATCAGTCCATGCACTGTCTGGATTATAGCACCTGATGCAACTGAGCTCTGTCAAGCACTTGGAGAGCTTCCTTCTCCCAATGTGATCATCTTACTGATCAGAAGACTACTCCCATTTTCCCAGTTCCTCAGCATCTATCATTGCCTGATCCAGTTGTGCAGAACATAGCATGCAGGATGATGCAGCAGACTATTTCCAAACTAAATTGGAGGACCTCTCCAGACTGGTCCAAACAGTGGAGTTGCATCTTCAATAGCCCTGGCATCTGCTCCACCAGGGTCCTGGTTGCAACATGTGCACCTACCTGGCTGAGTGTCCGACATGTTCAGCCAAAAGGGAATGCCTGCTGCACTCTGACCTCCTTCCCATCCTAAATTCACATCAATCATTTAACTTGTCAATGCAATCATTAGAGTCCCCCCACCGAAGCGCCACTGTCCTTGTCCCCACATCTGCACATGCCTCTGCTACACCCCCCACCTCCCACCACCAGCTCTGGCTCCCAGACCCCTCTTAGCAGTAATTCCCCCCCACTCCCCCACAATGCCCCAATAGACCCCCTTTACACCCTCCTCAATGCACAGGCCTCTAGGACTGTATTCACCCAGACATCTGACCGACTTTTAACAGCCTCTAGGTGACTGACCAGCCACCAATCACTGTCTTTGCAGCTCCCCAGCTGCTTATGAAAGCCCTACAGACTGGCCATTGTTCACAGCCTAGACTGTAGTCAGATGTATCCCTTGGCAGTGCCTGGCCCGAGGGGATGATTGACTCTGGCTGAGCTGCTGGATCTATGCCTACGACTGTGGGTAGCAGGACCCTTTGACTGGGAATGGCCCACCATTTTCGGGACTGAAGATGAGATCCACACCCACTTTCTGACATGGCCATTTGGTTGAATAAGTATCCAGCGTACTTACCATAAAGGCAGCTGACACAGGCTGTAGGTGTTACATTGATGTCTTGGTGCGCTGTACAGCAAGATGTGTCTCTTGCCAAACCCGACAGATCCCTACTGACAAGCAACCAGACTACGTGTCTGCACAAAAGAACATGTCGACACAGCAATGCTGGTAGCCTTTTGGCTCTGGCTGATGTGCCAATGCTCTAACAGGCACGGTATGGCAAGACAAGTTAGGATGCTGAAAGCCTGCAGGTAGGTATTAAGCGAGAAATAGAGCAAACCCTGAGTTGCAACCTAGTCCAATCCCCGTGCTGAGTGCCTGTCCACAATGCGTATGGTATCTCTGCTGTAGCCTTTCAATGTTGGTTGCTGGGATGTGCTGCACTTCAGAACTGTGCTTCCGAAGCATCCTGTGCAAGTGTTTTGGAGAGGTGCCATGAGGATCCTGAGAGGTTGGTAAATGTCAGGTGCCAGTGTGCTTGGATGAGGGGTATAAGCGGTTAGTACCCTGGGAATCATGCCCCAAGATACTGTTTGGTGGAGGCTCTTCACAGTCAGTGGTGAGCTGAATTCACCAAGTTACTTGCTCTGACTTCCATGTCGAGAATTCTTGATTCCAAATTTATTTGATGCATTTGGTAAGATGGAAGTTGACTTGTCAATGATATGAGCTGTGCCATTAAAAAGGTATTTAACAAGTGATAATCTCCTTAATTAGCAACTCACTGCTGCGTTGAGAGAAACTCCCCTCAGCGCTTGGGAAATGCAGTGAGTTGTTCCTGATGTCAAGGTAGACCTCGCTGGAATTCTTACCCAATTCTCCCATGAATCTTGCCATAGCCTATGTCATTCAGGTCAGATAAGATTTTGCCCAGTGAGTTTAAGATGTAATGGTAGTTTCACAAAATGTATCATACCCAAGATTCTGAAAAATGTATTTGTTGGTCTATCTGAACATTGTTTGTAGAAAGTTGATACCAAACATAATTTTCAAGTGAAACAGCGTTAGAAGACACGCATAATTGGAGAAATTATCTTGTTTTGCCTTCAGGTATCACATAATTACCGATTCATGGGTTTTTTTTTGATACGAGGAAAGTCAAAATGTCGCCTTTAAACTGCTTCAATCCTGTGGAAAGACATTCCCTTTAAACTTGTAAAACAGTTTGTTCGCTAACTAATTCTCATCATGTAAGACTGTAAGTTCATATCTGTGCTGAATAGTTCATGTAAATCATTATGCATCAAATACTTGGGAAGGGTCCAGTGACTGCATTCTGAGTTCAAGGTAAAACCTGAGTTTAGTGCTTCTGTTGTATTACATCAGATCCTAAGTGTTTTCTTGCCAATAGTGATAGCTTTTAACCACAGTAGAACAATTGATTTCACCCTGTGGTTGAAACCATATGATGAATAACGCACAGTAGCTGATGTTTAGAAATGTTAATAGATGAATTTTCACTATTGAGAATGAAGTGTTATTTTGGAATGTTAGTGCACTTAAGGCAGTGTTCAGTAATTGGATGTCTTGCCTTGGTGGACTTTCAGAAAAGATCAATATGCTACACAAGCTTGAAGTCTTATTCGTTAGTGAGTTTGCATGACTGATGTAAGGATTTAAGTAATGTGTACTATTCTTGCTAGTGTTGAGTTGAGGGACTTTCGTTAATATTATGCTGTGTTGAGAGCATGTGTTTATACTGTTGACACTTTTGTCTCTGATTTAATTTGGTGTTGCAACCCATAGCAAAGAAATGTAACGGCAGGCAAATCTAATTCCCTTGTTTGCACTTCAGATCACAGATTAGTGCTGAAAATTGATGAAAAGGTTCCCTCTTTCATGTTGATGTTTTGGGTGTACTTGAACCATGTTTATTCGAAATGGCAAGAATGCCAGTGATAAACTGGCCCAATCAGAGTGTTCCTTACAAATAATAGACTGATTGGATTTTGGTAATCTTGATTACTTTTGGTTTCAAATTTGACTTCCAAGCAGCTTAATGTTTTTGGTTCCTTTAATGATTGCAGCGTGATTCATATGATATGTTGAGCACTATATACTGTAGATCTGATATTAAGGAGCCAAATGTTTTCAGTGGAGTTTTAGGTGGCAACTGGCAAATGAATTCATTGAAAGCGTACAATAAAGAATCATAAAAAAACAGGTTTTATCGTTTTGAAGAAAGACTGCTGAAAAATCAGATTGTCCACTCTTATTATTTTATAATACCTAGGACCAGAGGACATAATCTCAGAATAAAGGGTTGGACACTTAAGTCAGAGATGAGGGGGAATTTCGTCACTCAGAGGATAGTGAATCTATGGAATTCTATACTGCATGGGACTGTTGAGACTGGGTTGTTAGTGCATTCAAGTCTGAGATAGATTTTTAGTTAGTAAGGGAATCATCAATATAGGGCAAAGGCAGGAGAGTGGAGTTATCAGATCATCTACCATCTCATTGAATAGCTGATTCTGCTCCTGCATCTTATGGTCTTATGTTCGTAAATGTTTATCTTTCGGCTTTGGGTAGAATCCCTACAGTGTGGAAACATGCCATTCAGCCCAACAAGTCCACACCGACACTCCGAAGAACATTACACTCAGATTCACCCCCTACCACATCCCTGTAACCCTGCATTTCCCATGGCTAATCCACCTAACCTATATATCTCTGAACAATAGGGGCAATTTAGCATGGCCAATCCACCTAACCTGCACATCTTTGGACTGTGGGAGGAAACCCACGCAGATGCAGGGA